TTTAAATGAAAAAATAAAAAGAGAATGGAGTATTTTTAAAAGTAAAGCCTTATTTTGCATGAAGTGAATAGCTTAGATAGCAGCTTCTGCTCTTATTTGGCATAATTTAAAAAATAATAATATAAAAAAGATGAAAGTTCCAAATGAAAGGTACCATGTGTTGAAATTGTTATAAAATAGTACAGTATATTTCACCTGCACTGAAGACAAAATAAACTGTGACTTTCTTAGACATGAGCTTGCATCATACTACATTTACAGAATTATCTCAGGCAAAAAGACACAGCTGTTTTCTAGTGACTATATGAATAAGAGAACAAGTCAAGCACTCTAGCAAGATGTAGTATGTATTTGTGATAAGTGGTGTAAAAGTTACTCATAAATCTGCATAGCTAGATGATTTGGCTGATAAATATATCCAGGAAAATGTAGTAATCATTTAATTCCTTAATAATGGAAATAATATATTTAAATTGCATACTGGGAATATAGTACCAGATTCCATGGATCCTGTCTGTCCAATTAGGCTATTCAGAGGCCAGATACATTACTTGCAAAAGTTTTTGCAACTATTGTTCTTAGAAAGTGCCAAATCTATGTTTTCTTGATTTACAGAATGATGTTGCAAACAATACAAATAATAAAATGTTCTATATTCAACAGTTTCACTTAGAAGTTTAGCTAATAGCCTTAGATATGCACTAGCAAATTACCTGTTTGATAAGAAGTTGAGAACCTGAGGGTATGCTATATCAGAAATTACGTTCAAAAGTAGACATATAGGTTTTAATATCAAACTAGCTGCATTCTCCTAGCTTATTTTCTTACTGTTGCAGCCTTTGCATAGAAATCATTCTACTTAACTCACCAAGTACATTGGTAATATACAATGCTACTGAAACAAAATTAGTATTTTTATAGTGCTCCACATCTTCAACTAAGAGTTAATGTAAAGGAGAATACTGCAAAGATATTTTCATTGGAAGCTGATATTTTGTCAGATTTGAAACCTCTCTTTTTTTTTGGTAAGGGATAATTATGGAATAGCATTTCAATAAACCAGTGGAAACTGGTTTGCTCTTTGAAAGGCTGTTAGAGTAATTGAACAATAAGGAGGAAAAGGAGTTGTGAAATGCTGGATGAATGTTTTGGAGACTTCCATGACAATCAAAAAATTGTTTCAACAAACCATGAAGTAAAGTCTTGGAAGGAATGTTTTAAATGAACACACAGTAAAAATCGTGTTCAGAAAATGTGTACTTACCTAGTATTTTTATAAGCAGGCAATAACGAGTTTCTGCCTTGTGTGGTAAAATGCTCATTGCTGCTGTGAGTGATGGCAGACAAAAAGGCAAAGCTTCTGCTCAGTTTAGGGTCCTGTCATAAAGCAAAACTTTATTGGCATATTGCCTTTATTATACTTAGGGTCTCACCTATTAGTGTCAATTGAATAACACACTGTCTCTTTTAGTTGCAGACATAGTAAATAATTTCATTACTTGAGTATTAAAAAGCAAATGCTAACACTTTAATCAGGGGTTTGAAAATAAATTAATTTTTTTGTGGCATATGAAATTTCTGAAAGTTTAGGTTTCTGTTGCCCTTTTTTTCCAAAAAAAAAATAAAATTGAAAGAAAAATGAACAAAATGCTGAGATTCTTTGCACGGGGAATGCTGTCCCTGGGAGAAGGACATCTGACTTTGTCATGTGCCTGCGGGCAGGAAGCCTTTGGCAGGTGGGCTGCAGTATGGGCCATAAATGCCAGAAATATATCCTGGAGCAGCAGCTTTAAGAAGAGAGGCACAAAGGAGCCACTCCAGTGCAGGCAACATGGTGAACTTTCAGTAGAAGCCTGTCTATTGGCCATGTGTTGAAAGCCATCTGATAATAGGGGTCCCTTGAAATCCAGCCTACATTTTAGAGGAACCTTGTGAAAACTCAAACTGGATAAAAGTTTGATGTACAAGAATCAGTAAATACTAATGGGGGGGGGGAATACAGATATTTAGTCTTTAGTAACCTGTGTTTGAAACTTTAAGTGGCAGTCCTTTTTGTCGTTCATCTGCTGCTTTTTTGAACACTGCCATCCGTTGCTCTGCTGCTGGCATCTGTGCTAGAGCTGCATTGATAGTCACACTATATTGGCCCATATAAGGGTCTATATAAAGGCTTAAGGTGGTCTCCACTGGGTTGTAAAACAAAATCTGGATTCCTCAGTCTCTCTGTTGATACTATTTGGCTAAGTTTTAGTTTATGAATAAAGATATACTTTAAGCTCATAATACTTCTGTTAAACAAGCTTTGGTATTTTATTTCCTCACAAGTGAGAGAAGAGTTTTGGGCTTGATGTAGCCACTGAATGTGTCTTATATGGATGGGTAATTTTGTTAGACTTGCTAGTATACCAGGGGCTTTTAAAATCTGTAAATGAAATTGCATTAAATTTGTGTGCCTGTGTTCAGTGGCACTTAAAACTGCCCAGTAATTTCAGTGGGCCACAGAGTATCAGAAAGATGAGTGGATTATGTCATGTTAAACATTCACTTGAAACATTTTGTGTCTTTTTAGTGGATGGAGGCTGGTCTTGCTGGTCATCCTGGTCAAAGTGTTCAGCAACTTGTGGAGGAGGGCATTATATGAGAACTCGGTCCTGCACAAACCCAGCACCAGCATATGGAGGAGATATCTGCCTTGGACTGCACACTGAAGAGGCACTCTGCAACACACAGCCATGTCCAGGTATAGCAAATCAGCCCATGCAGCTTTGTTGTTTGTGTGCCACAGAATAAGATATTCACAGCTAAGCAACATAATGCTCCTTGATCTATTATTTAGGAGTACATCATTGTTGTCCCTTGTTATGTGCATGATCAGCTCTTACATGCTATCATCACACTAAATCAAGTAACAGCAAGATATAGCCTACAGAACACTACCTCCTCCCTCTCCCTTTAAAAATTAAAATTTAAGTTGCCAAGATTCCAGATCTGGGTGAACTAAAACTGTATAATATTTGATGTGAATAATGCAAACAGCCTGGGAGGCTTTTCATAACAATATCAAAAATAAGTACATTTGTTTAACAGTAAAAATTCACAGCAAGCAAATTGCTGAGGTTAATATTTAACAATGAGTGTTATAACCAGGTCCTTCAAGTAGATAATGTTTCCCCTGTTTTCATCTAAAACACAGAGCAGAGGTTAATGCTCTTTGTAAAATCCCTTCTTCAACTTTGGATGTTAAGGAGCAGAGACTTTATCTTTTTAAATGATTATTGAGTACTTAGTAAATGAAATGTCTCAGCACTCCTGCTAGTTGTAAATTATGGATCATGACTTTTCCTGTAACTTTGCCTGCACCTCTGCCTTTTGACCCATATTAAAATAAACTTTTTTAAAATGAAAAATAAAAGTGACATGTAGAGAGTAAGCCCACACCACACAGAACATGATGAAATCATTAGTGAAAAGTCAGTGGGAAAATTTGTTTTTATTTATTGCTGATTAATGGATTGCAGGCAACAGCAAAAGGAAATAAGCAGCTCTGATGCCACATTGTATTACTTGCTTCACTGAGAGCTCCTAGACTTCATAGTAAAAGTTACCTGCTTTGTATAAGGCTGTGCACTTGGAGGCACAAGCCCCCCGAGTTTGAATATATGGATCCTATTACCTGTGCCAAACTACAATTTAAGTTGATCTCCTCTTCTGGCACTGCGTGTCTTGCAGCAGAATAAAAGTACCTGCTTTGTCAAAATTAAAGCAGATGCAACACTCTGTAATGTGTTTAAATAACCCCAAACATAGAAAGCAGTCAATGATTTGATTTTTAAGACAAATAGTGTATATTTTTATGTAGAAGTTACATAGCTGCCTTGGAATCCTTAAGGCATCTTTAAAAGGTCATAACTGGTGCATTCGTTGTGCTAGTTTTGTAGCTATTTCTCTTGTTGCACATTTGTTTTCTACCTCCATTTTTTTAGAGATGACATTTCGCAAACATTTATAAATAATCTCTTCATCGTGTTCGACCTGTGCAATGGGCTGACCCTGGCTGGACACCAGATGCCTACCAAAATCCTCTCTATCACTTATCCTTCTCAACTGGACAGGGAGAGAAAATATTTTGAAAGGCTCATGGGTTGAAATGAAGACAGGGAGATCACTCAGCAATTACCATCACAAGCAAAACAGCCTCAGCTTGGGGAGATTAGTTTAATGTATTACCAATCAAATCAGAATAGGGTGATGAGAAATAAAACCAAAGCTTAAAACACCTTCCACCCACCTTTCCCTTCTTCCTTGGTCCCACTTCACATCCAATTTCTCTACCTCCTCCCCTGCAGTGGCACGGGGACACAGGGAACGGGGCTTGGGGTCAGTGCATCACACATTGTCTCTGCCCACCAGTGAGAACTGGGCCAGCATTTGTAATTAACAGCATTCCTTTAAATTTGAATGAGCAGGACTTTATCGTTACTAAATATTAAAGGTAGGGACCCATGTACTTAAGTCCAGCAACTGATGCTGGGGGTGTGTCGACAGCAGCTCCTGGCTGTGCCACACAATATAGGCAGGAAGAACCCTGCTGCATTTGCTTGGCTCCCACCTCAGCGCTCCTGTTTCATGAATTAGGAACCAACTACTTTGTATCATCTCCCTCCATGCTTCTACTACCCACTCTGCAGAAGAGGCCCTTGCAAGACCTCTCTCAGGAAACAGAAGAGCCAAAAGACTGAGCTGAGTGTTCTTGTTCCTCACAATTACAAGATTCCACTGTTTGACATTGGCTACTTGTGTCAAGGAATTTGCCCTGTTGCTCAAAGGTGGCCCCATCCAGATAGTTGAAAATAGTTCATAAATATCAATGTACAGGCTCCCCCCCTGACCTGCTGACTACATCCAACCACACCAGAAATGATGATGTGCATCTGAACAACAGACTACTAGGACTGATGGCTGCTGTCTCTAACTAGCACTCTCCTACTGTCTTGAAAATGGTCCCGGGATCACTGCTTGAGATTTTTTGTGCCAATGTTATGTCCATCTACTCCCTTCATTTCATTTTACCATACTATTGGTTAGAAAGTGAACGTCCAACAGTGTCATGAAATGTTTTCAAAAATTTTTAAAACTGCAATCTCAGATACTCCTATTGGAATCTGCTAAAGTTTAGATGACTGAGAGTTTTTAACTTTTGCAAGGGGAAAGTAATAAGTACATGTGAAGCTTGTATGCTGGATTTATGCAATGTATGGAAAGGGCCCCAAAGTACAAGAAAGTGCAAGACTTCCCTGACTTTCCACCTGATACAAAAAAGGTGTGTAAAACAATGCATTTTCCAAAGTATTCACAATTTTTAATATTCTTCAATCTAGCTTGAAACAAAACTAGATTAATATATACTTAATATATACTTCTTTATTTGAAGCAAAATGAAATTTGTAAGCTTGCTTCATAATGACATAAAATCAATTAAATTTTTAAGTAGAAACAAGCTTGGTTTGGCATCCTAGCACTATAAAAACCATATAAAAACCATTAAATTTATCTCAGTGAGAAAACCAACAAAAGAAAAAACATTTAACTGAGCTCTGTCTTCTACCATACATGCCAAACTCAGAAGACTCTGATGAAGACAAGACTTGTGCTTGAATTGTAAGAAAGCTGAATTCAGTAATCTCACAGCACCTCATGGGAATGAGATCAATTCACTTCATTTAAGGCAAGTGTTCTGAGACCACACAGGCATGAAATAAAAATGTCTTAATCAAAGCAACATAGGCAGAGAAAGAAATATAGGGAAACAATAGAAGCTGATAATGAACTAACTGAATGGGGAAGAGAAGGTGAAAATACTTGATCAGATCTCTTCTATCTATAGCAAAGAAATGGACCTGAAATTAAAATAAAGCTTAAAAAAACCAAACCACAAAATAAAATTAGTTGCAAGATGCTACTATTTTTTAGGTTAAGTTACCCTACTTCAGACCTTGAATACATGGTCTCATAGCTCTCTCATTGCTACTTGTGAGGTACATAAATAAAAGACAGTGTCATTGTCCATCTTAATGACCTAGACTGGAATTAACTCCAGGGCAATAACTCTTCAGTCACCACTGCAGTATCCTTCTGGCTTCTTACTTCCATACACAAAGGCCATGGCTGAAGCCAAAGCCATAATATGTCTGAGATAAATTTACCGTCACACTCGACATTTCAGAGGCTTTTGCCAAACCTGAAGTGCCTCTGTTTCAGTGGGAAGAAAGAACTAGTTGGTGGTGGCTGGGCACAAGGCCTTCTGTTATTACTCAGAGACTCTTTCTCTCTCACTCAGTGTACTTGAAGCATTTAATTGCAGTGTCTGCCTGTGTGTCTCTCTCTGCCTGTTGCAGACAGCTGGTCCGAGTGGTCTAAGTGGTCCGAGTGTGACTCGTCTGGCCTTCAGTTCCGCGCTCGTCAGTGCATCATTTTGTTTCCTGTGGGCAGCCAGTGCACAGGCAACACCACGGAGAGCAGAGCCTGTGCTTTGGACTCCAACTTTATACCAGGTGAGATCAGCATGCTCCTCGAAGGATTAGTGAGATCTCAACGTTTCAAGGATGAGGCGTGGTACTATCCCACACCACACTGTGCAGAGCCAAGAGAACTTGCCTTTTGTCAGCCAAAGCCTGTTGGTCTACTGTGTATAGACGATGTTGCCAGATCTGGTGTCATCATGAAAACTTGCCTCATGGCTCTGAGTGTTGTGCAGCTGTCCTCAGTCACCACCTGGGACTTTGGTTAGTCGCTGTCACAGCGTTCTGCAGGTCCCTCCCATCCTACTTGGTAGCAGGGTGCGGGGATGGTTGTGGATAACTAGAAGAAATTGTTTCCTTATTACTTTAGTTTAAACGTTTTTGAGACTTTGGGTTTATTAGAGCAGCGTTCCTCTAGATTTTGTGATTCGCATATATGAAAGTGGGTGCTGTGGTAGTTAAATCTGGAAATCTTTTCACAGAAGCTTAATGACTGCTTTGGAAGGTAAGTACTATCAACTCAGGTCCTTATCTCCCTCGTGATCACTAAGTACCTGATGCACAGGCACATCATGTATTATTCTGTAGCATTTGTCAAAACTCTTGACTATACTCTTCCTCCTAGCCCCCCCACATCACGGCAGGCATTTAAATCCACACAGCAGTATGGGTGGCCACGTTGCATTACTGTTAGCAGTCATCTTTCTGACTGTGTACATTAAAAACAAGCTTGCATTCTATTCACAGACAGATAAATTGACGTTTTGATGTATCATTTGAAATGTGATTATGTTTACTCAGTGCAGCAAACTTTTTTTTTTCCTGTGATTATGTGGTACAATACAGTACCATTTAACAAAGGAATCAACAAATGTAAATGCTATTTTTATGGATGGTGAATGATGCTTTTACTCCCGAGTACTATTTTTTCCTTCAAAACCAATGTAAAAAATGTCAGTGTGAAAGCAAAAACTCCCACATTGTATTTTCCCCTTTTTCTCAGGCTTTTGAAATAGGTCCATTAATATTCACCTTCTGTGAAATCCCTGCTTAATCCAGTATAAGCTCTACATCTTATTTTGGGAAGATGGCATTTTCAGAATCTGAAATGATCCACCTCTTCTCTCGCCCTTCTGGTTTGTTTGCCACTCCTCCTCAGATTACCCATATCACAGCAGATAAGGTCATGCCATTACACTCACCTGAGGCAAACTAGCTTGCTTTCTTGGGATCACTCCGCTCCCTTGCACTCCTCCAGGTCCTCCAACTCAGAGTCCTCTCCCTCCCTCACAACCTCTCTTTCTTTTCTAATTCACCTCCCACCTTTTCTCAGCTAATGTGCTGGCATGTCCACCCTCGTGTTGTCTCCTCCTACTGCTTACTTTAGCCCAGTTCCTCTACAGAGCTTTGTATGTAGAGTGATTCTGGCAGAATGAAAAAATGCCTCCTTCTCTTCATTGCTGCTGCCATGTTTGCAGAGTTAGCCCTTACCAGAACTTTATGGTTTTCTGGTACATTTTTTTTCTGCTTATGGTTTGGGTTGTGAGTTAGTGGTCTCAACCAGACAAAATGTAATCTTAGCCTTTAACTCTCTGTGAAAGTGCAGTTCTGTGAGGTCTGATGCTTTCTCCTTTAGAAAATAGGTTTTATTGGCTTAGTGTGTGAAGAAAGATAAAAAGTCATGGTCCCCTTAGCAGTAGCCGCATATGGATCATCATCTTTTGGTAGTGGAGACCCTACTGTTAATTCCTCATACAGAAGATATTGCATACCTGTAAATATCGTTGCTGCCCTTATCTGCTCTGATTTTAGTTCCACTAGAAGCATCCTTAGATGGGAAAGTCAGAGTTGTACACAGTGTTCATGAAGTGGACAACACATGGATTTGTAATGCTGATATCCTGTCCTGTTCACTGTTGCTTTCTTGGTAGTAACTGGCATTTGTTTTGACTTTTTTGATTGCTTCTGAGCACAAAGTTGATATTTTCATTGAGCAATTTATCATAAACCCCTGGTCTCAGGAGTAGTAATGGTCAGCTGACAACCCATCATTTTATATGTGACACTAGGATTGCTTTCCACTTTATGTATCACTTTACACTGATCTACGATCTGTTTCATTTTATTGCCCAGTTTTGTAGGGCTCTTCTGCAGCTTTTCTCAGCATGCCCTTCTCCATGCTGCTTTAACTTTGTATCATCAGCAAACTTCAAACGCACATTTGCTTCCTGCTTTTTTTGCTCTGTGCTGAAAACCTAGGTCGCCTTGCAGTAAGGACTTAGCACATGTACTACTTAGCGCACTTAATACTACCTTGTTTTCTATATTTTCCCTCATCTCCCATATCTATTTTGTTGCTTGGGAAACCTTTGACAAGGAGCTTAAAAGCTTTTTTGAAATCCAGGTAGACTCTGTCTCTTGCCCTGCCCTTATCCACATGATCATTGACCCTTTCAGAGAGGTTCAGGAGATTTGTAAGGCAGGACTTCCCTTCACAGAAGCCATGGTCCTGAAGTAAACAGTGGGAAAATTTTATTATCAACAGACTTTTGTTCAATATTTATTCAGAATGCTTCCAAAGTCAAAATGTTAAGGATACAGGCTGGAATTACATTTTATTAGTTTCCAATTGAGACCCATAAAATTGACAGTCATCTTCTTTGAAGATTTCGTAAATTTCCTCTCTTTGCATTAGTGCTAGATGACACTTCTAAAAGTAATGAGCCATTTGGGCACAATATAATTAAACTTCCATTAAATTTACTGTTCAGAAAATCAACACTTTCTCAACATGCTTAAACTCCACAACGAATGTTTTCATGTGCAATTCATCGTTTAAATTCCAGAGATGTTTTGAAGCAAGAATTAAAAATATGTTGCTGGTTTTGCTTTGGAAACTAGGGAACCTGGAGATGTCATTGGACCTTTTTGTTAAGTCTAGCACATGTACAAAATCTTTTTTACTTTGGGTTTGGAGTGAATGTAGTAGAATAATTTTTAAAATCCTTACTGTGTTAATCAAACTTGTAGTTCTTTGTGGGTTTTTTTCTCTCTAGCATAAGCAATTTATTTATTTTTCCAGAAATATCAGTGGCACGATCCAGCAGCATAGAAGAAAAGTGGTGTGGTGGTAAGATTTTCAAATCTAGATGTTTATTAAATGCTAAAGTATTAATTTTGCATTTTTTCCTTTTGTTTCACCTTTTGCACTCTCCTAGTTATATTCTGCCTTCTCTTATTTTTTACACTTGCACAGAAAAAGTAATGTTGTTACTACAGGTTTTCTCATTAAATATCCATCTGCCATTGCTGACCTTTAAAACAAGAACATGTATTACTGGATGTTTGTATTTTCTTATTTTTCACCCTTCTCTCAAAAATAAATTTATATTATAAGCTAGTTATTAGTAGGTCAAAATTTGTGAATTTGCTCCACCTTTTTTAGAATAATGATTTCACAGACCTCTTTGGGACTCCATATAGACAGCAGAAAGCCAGTCCCATTTAATAGCTCAGACTGTGTCTGTGGCTCATTTTCACCTCTTTTATCAAAGACAAAACTAAAAGTTAAAAAAAAAAAAGTTCCAATCTCCAATCCAGAGGGTCCTGATTCTAGCAAAACAAATCTTGAAAGAGAAAACTGTTAGAAAAAGCAAGCAATAATAAGTAGAAGGAAGGACCATTTTTGTTTATGCTGAGCTATCACGCTTAGTCTGTGTCGTCATGGTAGTCCGTGTCACCAAGATCTGCAACAGTAGGAAACTCTTGTAAAAGAGTAGAAGGAGATTTCAGTCATAATCTATATATTGAGGCGGTCAACCTAATCACCTAAATATCAGTTTGTGTATCTAAATAACTAGCAGGCATGTAAAGATCCTACCTTGCTCTCAGTTTTAATCCTTGTGTAGGTGGAGAGGGTCGTGAAGAACATTTTAGGGAAAGCAGGATTGTGATTCAGTGATACCAGGACTTTGTTAGTTCTGCCACAAGTCACTGTGTGTAAGAGACATAGCTAGAAGAACAGCAGAGGAGGCAATACTGTAGTCCACTGAAAAAAATAAATAAATCTATGTATGTACATTACATACATCATTTATATATAACAAGGCTTTGCTGTACTAGTTGAAAAATAGTTTTGCTCAGCTATTCAAACATGCAAAATACAATTCATTTATCTGTTACTTGGGTACTGAACTTGCTTAAGCATCTTTCAGAAATTTCAGTCTTAATACTCACAGAGGTGTATGGGTATCTAAGATACTTATAATGATCCCTTCAGGGAAGTACAATGCATTTGCTGCTGTAGGGATAAAACGTTGCAATTGAGATGTTCCTGGGAAACACATGAAATTTCCCTTATCTTTACTTTAGTCAAACACTTGACTACATTTTTGTGTGAGCTTGAGCTTTTATTGCTGCTTCCTTAAAAATAAGATTGTCTTCTGCTCTCCACTCTGCAGAGTTCAACATGTTTCACATGATTGCAGTGGGATTGAGTAGCTCGATACTTGGTTGCCTTCTTACCCTGCTTGTTTACACTTACTGCCAACGATACCAACAACAGTCCCATGACGCAACTGTCATCCATCCGGTGTCACCAGCTCCTCTAAATACCAGCATTACAAACCATATCAACAAACTGGACAAATATGATTCTGTAGAAGCCATCAAGGTGAGAAGTGGGTTAGTGGCTCTGTAATGCATTATGTATATGGTTCTAGGCAAGCAGCTCTGCTTTATAAAAAAGAATGCTACTAGATAGTTTTCTGCAGTGGCATTCAGACTCAAATTATGCTGATTGTCAGTGACAAAAATAGATTTCACTTGCAGCCTTGTAATTACAGATCCTTTGTCAGTCCCTATTACACAGAAAGCTACATTTTGTGTGTATGTATAATTAAGACAGCAGCAGCCTTTCCTGGAAAAAAAACAGACCACTCAAGTTTTCTTTGTGGGTTTTTTTCCCCCCATTGTGTTCCCTAGAGGCTTGTTCAAGAGGTAAGTAGGGCCATTAACAATTGTCATGCCATATGACATGGCATATAATCCTTCATCTCCAATGATACAGTATCAAGGGCACTGTTCATGTTCCTACTCTATGTCTCCTGTGTCCAACTGGAATCTCCCCAGGAGTAACTTGCACTCATTACCCCTTGTCTTTTCCATGGGACTCCTTGTGAAGAGAGAGCCTTCTTTATAGCCATCCTTTAAGAATTGGAAGATGGCAATGATGCCTTCTGTAAGCCTTCTCCAGGCTGAACAAACCCATTTCTCTCAGCTTTTCCTCATCCCACAGACTTCCCAGTCCTTTGACCATCTTTGTGTCCCTTCCCTGGACCCTCTCCAGCCTGCCCACATCTTTTTTGTATAGTGGGGACCAAAAGTGAACATATGAGTTATTCAGATATGTTACATGCTGATCATTGTTCCCAAACAGCTGTTTTCTCCTTAAGACATTTTAGAATGGCTCTGTTTTTCATACTTGCTAAATTAAGGAAGGATTAGCATTCTGAGAATATCTAGTTCAGTAACATCAGATTACACGGTTTATTCATGCAGCTGCAAAGCTTTTTGTAAATGAGGATTTGACTCAAATCCTACCTGGATAATCCAGTTTTTAATGTCTGCATTTTCCTTTCTAATTAAACATATTTTGAAGAATTTCATTAAAATTGGCAAGAAAAGTCTAGTTTTTGTAATCAGTGGTGGAATATGTACCCAACTTAAAGCTTTTCCAACTTCCACTAATCATCTCTCTGGATAGTTATAGAAAGAACAAAAAAAGATTTTAAAAATTCATACTCTAAATACCCATCTCACTTTTTAAAAAACAGGATTTACACTTTTAAGACCTTCAGACATTTCTTCTACATATTGCATTAGAAAATCAAGGAATTAATGCAGTAAAGAGAAAATTATTCTAATTCAGCAAAAAGAGGAGTGAATCATTCCAATAGAAAGAACTGAATATGTAGGATTAAAATGTATTTTTAATCATAAAATTAGTTCTATAATGTTGGGGGGAAAGTGCTGACTTCACTTTATTGAATAGCATTGCTTTTTGCAGTAATGTTGCTATGTAAACAGATACACAGTCAAGTGCAAGTTTTTGTAAATGTGTATGTATTTCTCATTGCACTTTTACCTGACTTATTGTACACAGATACTTGCTACAAAAGTTGCCTTGGTGAAGGAGCACTTAGTGGCTACCTTTCTTCTGTCCTTCTATGTTCTTATCTTTCTTTTTTTCTTTCTTTTTCCCCCCAGGCATTTAACAAAAACAACCTGATTCTGGAGGAGAGAAACAAATACTTCAATCCACATCTTACTGCAAAGACTTATTCTAATACCTATTTTACAGATTTCAATAATTATGATGAGTACTAACGGGCTTGTGTATTTTCTGGCCTCCTGTAACTCCCCAGTCCCCAAGGCCTGTGCTACTTGACTGCTCATGTGATTGAGGCTTCAGAGATGAAGTTCAGAAACATTTCAAGCACGATTCAAGCCATCGATGTCCCATTGCTGCCAAAAGCCCACAACACTTGTTTGTGACATGATATTTTCTTTGCAGAGGGCAAGGTTGGCCTTCAGTGTCGGGTGCAGCTACAGCCCCTCAGTGCCGCTGGACCACTCATGAGGACTGCATTGCTTCTTTCAGTTTCATAACCTTCCAGTCAGATTTCTCTTAACAAGTGGCTAAGGAATTTCTGAGCTTTAAAAAAATAATAATAATTGTTACCCCTTGAAACTGTGCCAGGAGTACAAATCTAATTTTCTTTTTAGGCCTTGTCTTTTATTTCCATGAGGTTTGAAAAGGAAGCTCCGCTGTTAGCAACGGAGCCCTCTGTGCAGTCTCCTGAAGCTCACATCACCAAAAAAAGCACCAAAAAAGGGTGCTGAGAGCAACAAGAAGAAGAAACGTGGTGGTTTAGTGGTTCTGTGACAGTTCTGGTCTCCATAGGCCTGATCTTCTTGGAGCTGTAAATCACTCTGGCTGCAGTTTAGCTGTTCAGAGTGCAGAGACTAGGGCTGTACCAAGGGATGCCATCTTGTAACTAACCCAGAAAGCTACAGGGTCAGTGGTTTCCAGTTGTGAGCCACATCCAGTCACATAAAGCCTTCATCCAGTTCAGTTTTTGAGGGGATGTGGAAGGGCATGTCCCACAGGGAAACTGAGGGAGGAATGCAGACAGGAGAGTCACACTGGAAGGTTTTTCTGCGTGTCATTTGCAAACCAGCCCTGCTGTGGGATGCAGGTTTGCACGAGTCATGGCATCCCAAAGGCTTCCTCTCCCCGGTGCTTGCGTATGGGAACCTGCTCGACTCTCTGTTGTAGCATTTGTTGTTAAGCCAGTCATGGAAAGATACAACTACACCGTGGTTTGTGTGCCTTCTTAGGCTCTCGGGGGTATGTAGGCATAATCATAGATCTGCTGTTCTCTTTCTGGCTTTTCCTTTATGTGCACTTGTCTGACAAACAAAGCTGGCTCAGAAAATGCAGATGTATTTGCAAAGCGTTGTCTCATCTTGCTGCCTTGTCCAACCTATGCTAGTCAGCCCCTAGAGGAACATTCTTACGGTGTTTTAAGTGATTATCTTGTTGGACTTCATTGATGTAAATATTTAAATTACTGTTTGAGTTTTAAGTTATCAGTTTTAATTCCTTTTGTAGTGGCAGGTGAGGAAACACAAAGGGTTTTTATACCATTTTTCTTTGTTCTGTCTGTCTTCACCCACATTCACAACGTGACAATTTTTGTATCTGAAATTCCAGATGTATAACTAAAAAGAAAAGGGCAGGGATTTGGGCCAGATTTTCCAGAGTACTTAGTAGTAAGGCAGCATTTGCTATTCTGAGAAGCTTATGAAAATAAAGTAAAAGTTAATGTTAAGGATTAAAGAATTGGGCTTTCATTTTTTGAGCATGCTAGATGCAAAGATCATTGCAGCAGAATATCAGTCAGGTATTAAAGGAGAAGCAGAGTGGAAATGTTTAAGCCCTGGATCATTATGTTGTGCTATGATACACAGTGAGAGAAAAACATGTACATATTATAATGATAAAAAAAATAAAATAAAAAAGCAAAAAGTACCAGGAAGCATTGATCATGTGAGACTGCATTTGAGCACCACTTTGGTGGTCTAATCACTTACATTAGCCAAGGTGAACGCTGTATCTAATGATGGCAAAGAGCAGCATTTTTGAATGGGGATAGAACTGAACATAGTACTGTACTTCCTATCTCTGAGAAAAAGGCAAAGCAAATGGTCTTTGAGAATCTGTGCAGCAAAATGAGCACACATTTATCATTTACAAAAATAATTAAAATCAGCTGTGTGTTACTAACTCAGTCAAAAGAAAGCACCCCAGTTCATCTCCAGAAAGTATAATAATACTGGTTCTCTATAATTTGTGATTTATTTACTGTAATTTGGGTTTGGTTTTTCAGGAAAAAAAAAAATAGCTGATTGCCTCTGGATAAGAGGAAATTTTCTCTGCAAAAAAAATTTAGTGAAACAGATAGAGGAGGGAAAAACCTCTCCAAATCATAAGTAGCCTGGTATCTGAATCACTCTGTTCATGCCAAAAGATAAAGAAAATAAAATCTATATTGCTGCCACTGCCAAGAAACTGCAGCACATACACATACACATCTAGGCACAACACTGTTCCTCTCTGTCCCTGTACTAAGAGCACGTTAGTCTGGCTTATGGATTTTATATTTAGTCTATTAGTTATGAGACCAATATTTTTAAAATATTTGAACTATGTATTTTTATTTTAACCTTTTTTAAATAAAATTATCTGAAATTAGCTTCTTTTTAAACTCTTCAGTAGTTTGAGGCACGCTTATCTTTACAGTGATCTATTTTCCATTCTTTTCATGGATAGATACATATGATAGATGCACGTTATATATGCGGTAATATTACCCTAGTTTAAATCTGCATGATCATAGGTAAAAGTGCATGTAGCAGATGTTCAGTCTGCTCACACTTCCCTCTCCTAAAAGAGTATTTCAGGTGTTCCAGGTCTTTGAGCAACTCCCATGTGATGTTTTAAACACCACGCCAACTTGTCAGGAAAGTGTTTCTTTTCGACTTTTTTTAAATTTTGTTCTTTAGCCTCCTAAATTACATTTTTCTAAATCACGGGCAGAGGTATATACAAACCTCTATCTAAAGCAGTAGGGTAAAAATGGAAATTTGATAGCACTTCAATGGGGGAAAAAAAAAAAAATCATCAATGTCAAGATCTCCTTTTTAAGCTAGATTCTCAGACAAGAGGTTTTAAAGCCATGAGGTATTTGTGTCTTAGGTAATTTTACATCTGCTATTTCAGTATTTTCTCCTTTCGAGTTCTACACAGCTGCCCAGGTAGTTTAAGACAGCCTTTCGTAATACATGGAACAAAGCAAAGTGCAGTCTCTATTAAATAAATCTTTATTAACTTTATTTACCTTTTTTTTTTTTCTAAAATAGGCTACATATATTTTGGTGAAAAGCAGATTTCTCCATGAAAGTTCTGATTTTTCTTTTGCCAAATTAGGATTAGGATTAGGATTTTCATAAGAGAGTGGGAGAAAGAGTGGGGCTTAAATGGCTTTGATTTCCAGGCTATTAAGCAGTACTGATTAAAGTCTCGGATGGTTCTAGGACACCGTGTGTTTACTTTGCTCTACCAGAACTCCTCAGTAACCTCTGGCAAAATGCCATGTCAATGTACAAATCAAGAGCTACTAGAGCACTTAAGTGAGGAAAGTTTTTAGAGCATCAGACCATATGGCTGTTCAAACCAGAAAAGAAAGTAAGAGGTCCCAGATGCCACAAACTACATTAATGGGAATAAATATTTCAGTATTTTTTCCTCGTAATTCTAGAAGAAATATATTTACTTCCTTGAACGTGGGACCAGTTTTATTAAAATCAGCACAACATAAGCACATTCCTAAAGGTAATTGTATACATAATGGCTTTGCTGTATGAGATCAATTCTGTAAACAGTTTAGTCCAAGCTTGTCTTGCGCTGCTTGAGGTGTCCGACCGGTTTCTCACTGCAGCTGCCACCAGCGCCCTCTATGCTCGTCTGGGAGAACATCCTCAGATGGGCAGAGTTACGTCCTGGCAAGGGTTTGTGTCTTTTCACCGACAGTGAAAAGTGAGTCTAGAGAGGCACACTTCTGATTTTGTATGTCATTTGGATGCCTAAATTTAGATGGGCAAAATCTGGGCTCTTGAGGGTGATTTTACTCATTGCATAAGTAGTCGGACTGAGTTCAGTGGTAGGGATGTAACAGGTTACCTATTTAAATGTGTTTACAGGATTGAACCCAAACTATATTGCTTCTGCACAAATCCATGCACAGTACAAGATGACTTCAATAGTATGAAACCAGATTCATTTAAAATTGTTCACAAACAAATCTGCATCTTGATATCAGGGAATAGATATGTGTTCATTGTGTGGGGTATCTGAATTCATTCCTTTCTTTGCTAAATAAATGAATGATAAAACAAGATACTGCTTGACTTCATTTAAAAGCCATTCTTCCAAATAAAGAATGGTTCTGGGATCTGTGAATGTTTTCTCTTTCTTTCTGTCTTTGCTTCTGCACAGAAATGAATTTGTGTGCAGCTGAAACGGCCTTTAGCTGAACTGCTCAAAGTAACTGAATGAGCGCTTTGCATTGTGTTGCCATGCAACAACATTTTCCAACTAGGATGGTACAAAGAGGGAAATGTGCAAACCTGGGAGGTTTGGCAAAGACTTCAGCTACAGCAGTAGCATGGGTAGGCAGAAGTGGAAACAGAAATGCAGAAGAATGTGACTGAAGGCTTGGCAAAGACATCAGCAAACTTTTGCAGAAACTTACAGGCTTTTTGGGAGCTGCCAAGGGTGAGGCAGTGGGGACTGTGAACTCCCAAGTAGTCAAGCCAAGTAAAAAGTAGCCTGATTGCAACAGGTACTAGAGCAAAGTTATGGCTGTTACTCAGAATCAGGGGAGAAGTGAACTGGTGACACTCAGTTATCTAGAAGGGAGCAAAGTGCTTTTGCAAGCAGTAAGTGCCAGGGTACAGGTGGCATTTTAGCAATCTCTGTGCTGGCAGGAAGGACAGGGCAATAGGAGCACATCTGTAGAGCAAAACAACCAGTCCTGAACTCAGGGATTTGCAAATGAAAGCACAGGGAGAGGTGTACCAGGAACAGATAAACCTTTTGTTTCCAGGTTGGCTCTTTGGATCCAGACTGGACACTTTTTCCCATACCTTTCCCTTTGTCTTTTCTGTGTTGGGGAAACTGATTGCAACTCTACCTGCCTGACGATTTATCAGTTTGAAGGAGTGATTTTTTCACCAGTACAGAAGTTTGCTAAAAAATTTGT